ATATCACAATTTTGAACATTTATGCACCAAATTCAAGGGCAGCAATTTCATAATAGAAGCACTATTTATATCTAAACTCACATATTGGCCACACAGTGAGAGTGGATGACTTCAATATCCACTCTAATCAATAATCAGGTCATTCAGACAATAACTCAACAGGAAAACTCTGGAATTAAATAATGTCATAAATCAAATGGACCTAAGAGACTCTGCAGAACATCCCACCCAAATATTAGAGTATAATTTCTTCTCAGCAGCTCATGAAACTTTTTCCAAAAATTAATTACTTTATTAGGATATAATGCAAGACTTCTTGAACATAGGAACATTGAAATAAAATTCTGCATCCTATCTGACTGCCATGTATTAAATCTGCATATCAACAAAAATAGAAATAACAGAAGCTATACAAACTCATAAATGCTGAATAAATCACTACTGAATAAAAATTAGGTCAAAACAGAAATCAAGAAGGAAATCTGAGCCCGGCGATGGTGGCGCACGCCTTTAATCCCAGCACTCGGGAGGCAGAGGCAGGCGGATCTCTGTGAGTTCAAGACCAGCCTGGTCTACAGAACTAGTTCCAGGACAGGCTCCAAAGCCACAGAGAAACCCTGTCTCGAAAAACAAAACAAAACAAAAAAAAAAAAAAAAAAAAAAAGGAAATCTGTTGGGAGCAGTGAACCCCCAGATCCTGAATTTCTTGTAAGCAACTTGTTTTCCTCTGCTATGAGACAGCCTGCAGCTGCTCTGAGCACGAGACCCTCAGGAGTTCCTGATGGCAGGGGAGTGGTTTCTGGTGGGTTTGGTTGAGGCCTGGCTATCAGTTAAGGATCCCTTTATAAGCTGCCCCTGGGCACAATAAAGGGGGCATTCTTGGGGCATTCCTGTTTCAAGGATAACCTGTGTCTCTGTCCGTGTGTCTTTGTGTGTTTCAATCTCCAGCCCCTTGCCCTGTTCACAAACTGTATGGTAGTGCATAGAGCGCAGACGGGCACGATGCGCTACAGAAATCTACAGAAATCTAAAACCTTTAGAACTCAATGAAAATGACGCGTGACATTTCAAATCTATAGGACACAATGAGAGTAGTTTTCAGAAGAAAGTTCTTAGACCTAACTGAATTGCACCATTTAAATGCATCACCTACATGGTGTCTAAACTACATCCAAATGAAATTTATATAGAGAAAAATAAATGATGAAAATGTGTGTTTAGCTGGAAGTGTCACCCCAGCCCCTGGCGTCCATATATCCAAAGAATCTGGAAGTTTGGATGGAAGTTCCATCCCAAGCCCCCTCCCCGGGAGTTGCCTCAGTCCAGACTCTACCTCTGAGAAAGCCTACCAAATGGTGACCCCTGCCCAGAGATGCTCAAAACCAATCCCCACAGGGTATTTAAACTGCTCCCCAGAGAATAAACATGTGGTTTTCCAGTCTTCCTTCCCCCCCCCCACCTTTCCTCTCTGGGGAGCTGGAAGGCCACTCAGGAGCGCTAGTATCCATTAAACCTGGGCTTTCTCTAATTTGGTCTGATTTGGGTTATTGCATTGGTGGAGAGGTTCACTGTGGAACAAAAACTTTTCAGTGTGGTTGGAGACACTTATAATTCCAACTTTTAGGAAGTGTAAATAGAGGAGTTCAAGGCCAGGCTACTAGGCTCCATAGCCTCAGCTCCCTGAACTTATGTTCAAAATAAGGAAAGGAAAAATATGGAAAGATCAGAAAAATACCAAGGCCTTCAGATGAAGGTGGGAGAGCGAAGCAACAATGGAGAACAGTAGCAGAGATTCCAAGGTGTGGGTAAGGAAATATTTACTGAAAGGGTGGGGTGTTGTGTCAAGTGCTAGAGTTTCCTCTAGTCTGTATACCAGAATGGGGAAACTCCAGTTCGCTATCTGTATTTGTAGAGAATGTTTTATTGGAGCCCAGTCATGTCCACCCACTGAGTGTACTATGGCTGCTTTCACAGGCAATGGAGAATTGTGTAGTTGCAAGCTAACATATGATCAGTAAATCATAGCGTATTTGCCATATGGTCCTGCCCAAAGATGGATGTCTGGTTTTTACTGCTAAGTTTGAAATTCACCCCAAAGTCCTCATGCTGGAAACAATCCCCCTTCATTCACGTGTTAATGCTACTTAGAAGGGGCCTTGGGAAGTGAATGGGAATGGGTGAGAACAAAGGGGTGTGGCTTTACAAGGGTAGGGCTTTACAAGGCAAGGATAAGAACTAAGAATCTTTGCTCTCTTTCAGGCTGTGATGTTGCTGCCTTGTTACTGATTTAGAATGAGGCCTTCTATTCTTGATAAATTACCCAGTTAAATCTATTTTGTCATAGGAAGAGAAAACAAAATAAGACCCTTGCAATGTAGAGGTGCCACCACTGAAGGTTTCCAGAAAGATAACCTTGGTTGCCAGCCAGGAAGAAGCTCTGATTGGAAGGAACAAGGGATCACATTGCCGTATGCCCGATACTTTTTATCTCACCTCTCCCCAGAACTCCATCTTCTTCTTAGAGAAGCAGGAGGCACAGACAGGAGATAGGGGCTCTCTCTGCTCAGGTCTACAAACAGCCTGGAAGATTACAAACATTTTGTCTTAAGATTTTGAGGGAAATAGCAAAACAGACAAATGTCAAATTTTCAATCGTAAAAAGATTGTATAAAGACTCATTTCTTTGCACACTTCATGTCTAATACAGTTCCTAGTGATCAGCCAATAATGAATGAATGAATGGATGAATGATAGTGATCACCAGTAACTAGAGCAATCTCAATATCTCAATATCTCTTTATTTTTTCTTTTATTTATTAAGGGGGACTCCTCTGAACCTGTGCCTATGTTTTTATAGACTCCACTGACAGCCGTTAGCTGTTTACAGCACCTTTTGGCTTTCAATAATAGAACGTGATGTCAGAAGCTGGTAGCCACCAGTGGTCCCTTTGAGACTCACCAGAGATGCAGATGGTGCACTGTCCTCCACAGAAACCTGGTTTCCAAGAAGTCTGCTTCTGTCACTTCCTCCCACATGGAGAATTAATTCAACCTGTATGCCCTTTTCTCCAGAGGACAGAAATACAAGTGTGATTTTGAGGCGTGGCCAATACTATCAAAAGTAAGCTAATTAATCAGAATTCGATATGGCAGTGATGGAAAGTGATTTCCCGAAGAAAGCCACAGCAGCCACGCCAAGGTGTGTCCACGCCTCCTGGAAGGGGCTAGTGTGGGTGGAGTCCTGTGCTGCCAGGTATATACCTTGGTTTAGGGTACTCACTAGTCTGGAGGAGGATCCTGGTAAGAGACTCTCTCAGAAGAACAGGACCTGCACTCTGCCTGCTTCACTGGTGAGCACTGCTTGCCTCTCCACACCAGCTGTAAGTAAAGAAAGACTAGAGCAGGGGTTCTCAACCTTCCGATTGCTGTTTCCCCTGAAGCACACTGTAACATTTCTGTCTTCTCATTTCCTGGCATCTGACTGGATGTGTGGTAACTGAGGCAAGCAGGGCTGCTAGGAGTCTTAGTGGTGCTCCGGGTCATCATTGTGATGAGGACAGAAGGGTTTGGAAGCAACGCTCACTCAATAGACATCCCAGGAGAGTAGAAACAAACTATGGATTTATCTCATTTACAGTCACCTTCAATAAAACCTGTTCAGCTTAAGAAATGACACTTTTATGTGGAGGAAAGAGTTGAAGGCTACACTTCCACTTTGGGTGTGAAAATACTCACATGTAGTGTAGTATATCTCCACACAGGCACACACGGAAACAGGGACTTCTGCCACAGGGTGACTGTGACTTGCAAGTCAACAAAGGTAACCTCCTTCAGAAGAGAGGTGGTAGAAGACAACTGAGTCATGAGGTCTTAGGAAGTACAGGATCAAAGGAGAAGAAGTAAGCTTTAGCTGAGCGGCTAAAGCAAGTTTGGAAGTTGCCCGAAGAAATCAACACAGGGTCAGTTTGGATTTCTAAGGTAGCAAAGGACACCAAGGAATATAATTCACTTCCAAACAAGTATATCAATCATGGGATAAGACAAGTATAAGTTAACACACACTCTAGTATTAGACTTTTATTCCATCTCTCCAGCATGTGGGTGTTGATGAATATGCTCTGGGAAGTAAGGGAAAGAACCAGCATTTATAACAACATAGTGTGTGCTAGGTGGATGTGTTCATCACCTTGTTTTGATCTAACAGTATTGATGGGAGGTAATTACATGTCCCACATTTTATATTTGCAAAAAGCGAATCTCAAAGAAGATCCAGCTTGATGTCTGAGACCTTGCAGCCAGCTTTCTAGTTTCTCATTACTGAACTCAAGTCTATTCATTTACCAGTGGAACAGGAGCTAAGGAATTAAGGACTAGCTCTCGTGGAAGGAAAAAGATTTCTTCAGCAAGCCAGCAAGACTAAGACTGGTCTTCTGAAAGTCCTTTTTCACTCACATATGTTTTAAGCTTCTTTTCACTACAGACAAGGGGAGGATGGAAGTTAGTTAAACCTGGTGGCTAATAACTCATTGGTTTGGCACATCTTAGCATCCTCAGTCTTGAAAGGTGGGGGGGGGGGGGGGGGGGGGGGGGGGGGGAGGGGTATCAGCCTCATGCTGCTAATTTGAATAACTATTGAGCGCTACACTCAGCCAGTCATGGGTTGTTTCTGAGCGATGGGCAAGAACATGGAGGCTTTGGGGCTCCTTCTTTTCAACCATAAGTATGGTTACACTCTGGTCTTTTTTAGACTCGCTGTCAAACTAGGGGTGTGGAGAAACCCAAGAAGCATGAGCATGGGGCTCTGCTACACAGCCAGGAGCCTGCTCATAGTGGGGCACTAGGTCGTCACAGAGAGGGAGGAGCAGGGTAGTTGCTCCAAGACTTTATCTAAATAGCCTAGAGTCTGCTGGTAAGCAAGGTAGTGGAGATTTGTACTTCAGCAGTCACTATACAATGAGAGTTACTTCCTTTTTGGGCAGATGCCAAGGTTTGTTTCTTACAGTCTTGACTCTTCTAGTTAGGGCTTTAGCTAACCACAATGACAGCAAAGCTTTCTGGATTGCTTACTGCTGAAGATCAGGTACTTTTGACACAGTAGAATTTGAGCCTCTGCGCTTGCCGTACTCCAGAATTGCTTTCCTGCTTCCTCTCAATGTACTTTTGTACTCGCTGAACTCCGGGGCAGTCCAGCCTTGGGATTGCTGACAGCTCGAACTCGAAGGTAAGAACACAGTTTACCTTAAATGTCTGACCTAAGTTGTTGGTGCATGCTCTCAGTTTTCAGGCGTGCATGCTGATGTAGAAGTAGGTTAGCCCAAGCCTGAAAGATCCTAAGTCCTAAGAAACCTGAGAAAAATTATAAAAGGCATAAGAAACCAACACCAGCTGTGCTCAGATTCAAAATCCATGCACTCTTTCCCATGATACCATTTCCCTTATGCACCTTGATCTTCCCAGCCGCCCGACCCCCACCCCGATCCTGACAGCCTCTTCCCTTGCCAGCCAACTGGACTTTTCTGGCTATTTCTGTTTCTTCTCCCCACAGAGCCTTCCTTTTGTCACAGCCTCAAGCTGAGTCTATAAAAGGGACTTGACCAGATAGATCCCCATCATCTCCAGCTCGTTCCTTACATAAACAAGCCGCCATAGCACCGTGGCCACGGGCCTGTAACGTTTACAAGCAGTGGACGATCCGCTAAGGGCAAGGTGGAGGATTTCTGGGAGTCTGAGGCCTGTCTGGGGGACAGCGTGAGGCTCTGTCTTAGAAACCGAAGCAAAAAGGGCTAACTGAATGGAAAAGAGCAGTAATTTCTGCTCACGGAGATTGTTTCACAAAGGAGGCCACACTGACCCAGCCTGGCAGGTTGAAAAAGTGGCTGCCTGGGAAAGTTTGTCTGTCTGCCCAATTCTAAAAATATCAGGGGCCATAGCTCATGCAAACTATAAGAAGAACCCAAAGGGAGGGTGACAAGGTCTCGACATTTCTATGGGGACTAAACAGCATTGTGTCCTCTCCAGCACCACCCTCTCTCCCCAGCCCTGCTGCACCTCCTTCTTCCAAGTTTCCACCAGGTTCTACTCTGTGGGGCCAACCCAGCAGGTGGGGACACAATGCACCAGGGCATCAAGTACTTTTCATCCTCCACCGGTCTTGGCAGCAGTCTCAGCTTCTGAAGGCTGTCTTTCTCCCACAGCCCTGCACGCTGTGGCCATCAGACCTGTGTGCCTCTCGCCGTCCCATGAGGTTCTCAGGAGTAGAAAATGCCAGCATTAGATTTACCTAGGCTGCCAGACCCAGACCCGGGAGAGAGTCAGTTGTTCCCCTGTAATCACTGTTGCTGCCCAGCAACAGGAGAGAAGTTTGGATTACACACCAGTTACAAGTCTGGAAACTACACAAGACAAACCATTCACAAAAGGACAAAATCGATTTGCTTATCTAAAGCATCTGGAGTTCGAGGAGACAGAAAGGGAAAAGGTGGTAGCCAGGGTCCGGGGATTTAGCATGAAGGCGCCCCCTAGTTTCCATCTAGGAAAGTGAAAAGTTGTCTGGAGACAAAGGGGGATGGTGGACATGCAATGGTGGGAATATCACTAAAGCCACAGAGCTGTGCACTTGGAGCTAAGAGTCCTTTGCGTGCGGTGTATGCTCTGTCACAGCATTTTAAAAACTACATTTTGTTCTTTTCTCACAGGCCCTGGACCCTCCACTATGGCCTTGACCCCAGAATTGAGCAAACAAGCAAAATGGAAAGAGATAGCAGGGATTCCCCTGGCAGCTGCGACCGTGGACAACTGGAACCAGATTCAGGCCTTCAAGGCCAAGCCAGATGACCTCCTCATTTGTACTTATCCTAAATCAGGTAACTCAGGGTGACAGCTTCAGTCTCACTGTCTGAGCCATCTGAACTCCTCACCTGGTTAGAACTCCCTGTAATGGCAAACCTGTCCCCTCTTGTCCCATGGTAAATTTAGTCCATCTCAGATGCCTGTGCCTCTGGGTTTTCTGAAGCTCACTCCCCTCTGCCATTCACTGTTCTGGGAAGAGGTGAGCGTTGTCTCTGCTGTTCTGCTCCCTGTGGAGACCCAAAGTCTTCCTGTCAGAGCTAACAGGATCCACCTGGCCCCACGCCCCTTCTTCAGGATGCTTGGAGAAAGAATGGTGGGTTTAGGACCTTTACACGTCCCTGTGTCCTCAGGGACAACATGGATTCAAGAGATCGTGGACATGATTGAGCAGAACGGGGATGTAGAGAAGTGCCAGCGAGACATCATTCAACATCGGCACCCTTTTATTGAGTGGGCACGGCCACCCCAGCCATCAGGTAAGAGCCCCTGACTCCCTAGGTGTTCCTCCCCCATCTTGTCGCTTTCCTTGCCTTGGCTCACAATCGCTCCTCTTCCTCTTTTTCCGCCTCCTCTTCCTCATCCCCCCCCCCCTTTATATAAGAGAGGATCTCTAAACATAGTCCTGACTATCCTGGAACTCACTATATAGACCAGGCTAGCCTCGAACTCACAGAGCTCTGCTTGCAACTTTCTCCAGAGTGCGGAGTTAAAGGCACACATCCTCATGCCCAGATCCATCTCTTTCCTTGTCTTTATTCCCACCAGTGTGAGTCAGCAAGGAAGGAAGATGTATGTAAAGGTGAAGTTGTACCTTATTTTCTTATCACACTCTTGCTCTGATCTTGTACAACTGGAGACAACAGGAAGGTGCAGACAGACACCCAACTCCTCCATGGAAGGAAACCCCATTAGAGAGTCTGCATTTCATTTTCCCTCACCTCAGTTTAACTCAATGGTTTCGCAGAGCCAGTTAGTACAAGGGTTGTGTATAGAAGTGCAAAAATCATAAACCATGTGTCAGCGAGCATGTTTTTGTTTCACAGATGAAAGGGCACACACAGCACGGTTTGACTCTGGCTGGCAGGGGAATGAGAAGGACCTGCTCTCTGGTCCTGACTGGCTCTGCATGCGTAGGACACACTTGTCTGGTCTCAGCTTCCAGCTCATTGCCCTCCAAGTGACAGACCAAACCCCTTGAGATTCCCATAAAATGTTCTCAGGTTTGGGGCTTAAGAGAACATGAAGAAGAGATGAACGGCTTGTCCAAAAGAATTTGTAATGCCGTGGGCATAAGGGCAGACAGCCGCAGGGAAGGACTCTGATAAGAATCTAGCTGATGTGACGGGATGAGGGGAGGGGTCTCTTCCTATACACCGCAGGGACGTGGAAGGCTGTCTCAGGGGGAGCAGGACTCCAGGGTAGGAATGTGCAGCTCTCGTCCTGTGTGTGGGTACATGTGCTTGAGGCTGTGCGCCCTGCACAGATGAGTGGTCCACACTGGGAGTGGCTCTCTGATATCCGGAGGTCGGCCAGTCTCCTGGAATCTGGGCACCCAGGAAATCTGTTATTCTGTGGGCTTAGAGATCTGCATGTGAGTTCCTGCTGGGGGCTCACAGTGACCTATAAAGTCATGAGAGAAAAAGCCAGATGCAGGTGGAAATGGCCTGAGGACCAGTCTGGTTTGGATTTTCTTAGTAGGACACAGTTATCTAAGACTCCTCTTATCTTCTATAAACTGACAAAGTAGATTCATTCAAACCTCATATCCAGCTCTCAAATTAGGTAAGTCTACAAACACAAAAACCATACCAGTAATCCCTCTAAGGGGGGCCCCTCAAAATACAAAAAGTAAGAAGATTCATGTGTGGATGGTGGGTAAGCTGGGCATCACCTGGAGGGGAAGTTCCCATGTGCCGACCGTACTGTTCGGTCATCTCCTGAAATCTGTTCAAGGTGTGGATAAAGCCAATGCGATGCCATCCCCAAGGATACTAAAGACCCATCTTTCCACGCAGCTGCTGCCACCGTCTTTCTGGACAAGTAACTGTAAGGTAAGACAGCATCAGTTCCCTGGAGTACTGGGGCAGGAAGCCTAGAGAACTCGGCATGCAGACGCTGGGTGAGAATTCCTTCTCTGTACTGTCTTTCCACTACCTCTGAGTGCTAACACACAGCAGGAAAGTCACACATGAAGATCGATTCAGCAGAGTGTTTCCCTGGATGGTTTCACACACTGTAAAGACAGAGGCCAGACTGAGTTGTTAGAGATCTTCTAGTCTTCAGTGAAGCAGACTGGGGTAGGGGTTGGGAACGTGAACCACGGCCTGGAGGAGGTATCATAGAATGGAGCAGAGACACGATAGAACAGAAAAAGTTCAGAACGGTAAATCAAAGTAGAGCCACGGAGCGAATGCTTTTGTCTGCAGCCTCAGAAGCCCCCGTGCCTGTTTTACTTTTTCCAGGGCAGTGTCGTGTATCCTAGTGTCTAGTCTAGTGTGTTCCTGCCACCTGGAGGATGCTGGACCAGGCTGGGCATGAACAAGGATAGAGTAACCTCTAGTGGGTAGAGCTGAGGTCTCACAGTAAGGTAACATTTGCTGAGAAGAATACAATCCACATAGACTGGGATAAAGGAAAAGAGGACAGAAAGTGTCTAGAGAGATGGCTCAGTGGTTAAGAGCACTGGCTCTTCTTGTAGAGGAGCCTGGTCCACTTCCCAGACCCAGTGACAGCTCACAACAGTATGAACCTTTGGTTCTCAGAGATTCCGTGCCCTCTTCTGGTTTCTGGGGTACTGCAGGCACATTGTGCACTTGCATGCATGTAGGTAAAACACCTATACATAAAAACTAACTTAAAATTAAGTGTTAGTTACTAAGGACTAACAAACTTCTAGATGACAGAAGTATAGTTGGGATTTCCACGAATAAAGGTCTGTTCTCATGACAGTAAAGATGGAGGAGGGGTGCAAATTCTATTTCTGGCATTACTGAAACTGAAAATCATGAAAACACTGAAGAATACCCCTTTAAGTTGTCCAGCTGAAATCAAACAAGGTGAAAAAGAAGTCTCTGAGTTACAGAAAAATAGATAGTAAATAAAATTATTTTATTTTATAAAAAGCAAAAAAAAAAAAAAGCTTCTCTTCCACAATGGGCTAAAGAAGGTAACATTTGTAGGAAACAATTCCCCTTCTAGATGTTCTCAAGAACACAAGGATTTTATTGGACTTTGCTGTGCCCTTTCCTCCCTGTCACAGAGTTAGTGAACCAGTCTACCCCTGTATAAGGGGTCTTGGAGAATACTGAGACAGAAAAACAGCCTGAGTATGGGGTTGTGCCAGGGTATTTGATGCCCTGGGTGATTCAGCAACATGAACTTTGGTATTTCCATGGGGACTGGCAGAAAGCCTAAGCACAAGAGAGAGAAGAAGGAGCAGAGAACAGGGGTAGCAAAGGTGAGCAGGAGGAACTGTGCTCTGTGATCCAGAGAAGGGTCTACAATAGCTATGTCTTCAGTTTTGAATGAGTGAGTTTGTTAAATATACAGCAAGCCAAAGAAAAAACGAATAGGAATAAACAGTAAGCAGCGTGCAGACAGGAGAGAGAAACAGAGAGAGATTGATAGATAGATAGATAGATAGATAGATAGATAGATAGATAGATAGAGATAGATAGATAGATATAGATGATAGATAGATAGATAGATAGATAGAGATAGATAGATAGATAGATAGATAGATAGATAGATAGATAGATAGATAGAACTTTCTCCCTATGGCTGAGCTTTCCCAGGTCTGAATTTCTTGCTTCTCTTCCCCAATAGACAAAACAAGATAACATCTGTAGGAAATAGCTCCCCTTCTAGATGTTCTCAAGAACTCAGGCACTTTTGCGGTGCCCTTTGCTCCCTGTCACAGAGCAAGGGGACCAGTCTACCCCGAGATAAGGGGTCTTGAGAACACTTGGGTGTGAAGTGGGGGTGGAACAACTCACTTCCAGGGCCAGCTTCTTAGTTCAAACAGGACAAGACAATTTATCAATATAATGTATATCGTGGGCAGAAAAGGAGACCACGGGTCCTCTCCCAAACTCCTTTCCCTGCCCTGAACAAGACACTGCAAGCTCACAACTCAGCATAAGGTGACCCCCCCTCCCCCACCCCCACCGCCTGAGTCTCCAGATTCTGACTGTACTCACCAGCCCACATTTCAGCACACAAAGGACAGGGCCATCATAGGAATGTCTGCTAGCCCAACAGCTGAGCTAGCCCCAAGAACTTCTGACACATCCGTTACGTGTAGAAAAGAGAATGTTAAAGTTGCACAAAAATGAACAATTGTATCAAAATGACACGAAGAAATAAGAGGCAAATGTAATCAGAATCATCAAATAAATATGGTGTTTTGTAATTGAATATATATATGTACACACACATATATGTGTGTGTGTATATATATATATATATATAATCACTTAAAATTAAAAATCAAAACTAGCCTAACTCTCAGATCTGAATAGGAAAAAAAGTATGAATTTAGGATGGGATGAGAGCCGAGGAAAGACGAGAGTGATGCGGTGTGGCTGGAAGTCACACACATGAAAAGGAAAGAAGACACAAAATGCCAGGCAGTGTGAATGTGAAAGACACCTGAGGTTTAAAGCTTAAGAATTCAAGAAGAAAAAGGCGTCCAACTTTAGAAAACATTCTCCATCGGAGCATGGCAGCATGGTGACTTGGAGGAAGCATGTGTCAGACCTCTGAGATGGTGACAAGGTTTCTCAACAGGGTTCCTCAACCTGGCCCTTTATTCAAACAACTTGGTATACAAAAACACACAGATGCAAAAATGATTACCGCAGAGGAATGCGGGTGCTCCCAGAAAATAGGAGACATGGTGCTGTTTCATGACGCAAACACCAGGTGGAGCTACTGCTCATCCAGAAACCAAGCTGAGGTTTCTGGAAGGCTCACTGGCACACAGGTGACAGTGGGCTAACAGGCCCGAGTTTTAGAGGAAGAGTTTGCTCCTCATATCAAAGGGAACATCAAGACTTGGACTAACTATTAATGAGTTAATAGTGCCTGGCTTGCGGCAGCATAAACTGCAAGGACGCTCCTCCAGGTTGTGCAGCCAACGCGGAAGAGCGGCGCGGTCCTCGCGAGGACTCGGCCAGAGCGAGAGCTCAAAGCGTCACATATTTATGCCGCTCTAACCACCTCTCTTCCTCTCCAAAGTTCCTTTACGTGGCTCGGAACGCCAAAGACTGCATGGTTTCCTACTACCACTTCTACAGGATGAGCCAGGTGCTCCCAGATCCAGGCACCTGGGACGAGTATTTTGAAACCTTCATCAGTGGGAAAGGTAAAGAGAAACGCTCCTGTATTCTTCCTTCAGTAGAGCTGAGTGGAGAGAGCCATGCATGACACTTGCGTCCCCAGGATGTCATGCACCTCCTTAGACACTGACCGGGACCATGTAGAGGAGGCTGGTTTCTTTCACTGTGAAGAAACCCATCCCTCAGCAAGCAGCCCCGTTTTACTTCAAAAGCCTTTATTCCAGGTTCCTGGCCTGTAGAGTTCCCCACCTCCTGGGTGTCCCTGTCATCATACGAGGTGCAGGTAACTGTGCGTAAATAACATAAAGGACTTTAATTTGCCAAATTAAAACCGTAGGACTGACCCAAAGCACGTGACATCAGATTAAAGCAGCTCGGTGACCTGAGACTATATCAGACACAAGATTTTTCCTTCACCATGTCTCTAGCCTCTGATGCCCTTTAAGTAGAAGAAGAAAGGAGAAAAACCTGACTCTCCGAAGGTTTGTGTTCACGAAAGCTGTTCTTGTTTGCTACAGTAAACTGGGGATCCTGGTTTGACCATGTAAGAGGATGGTGGGAAATTCGAGATAGATACCAGATTCTCTTCCTCTTCTATGAAGATATGAAGAGGGTAAGTAAATTACGGCTGCAGGATCAGGGACAGAGGAGCTGCTTGAGGAATATGCTTCTCACAGGGATGTCTGGGGAAATGGGATCATGTTAAACTCTATTCCAGTCCAACGCAATGCTACCCTCCCCCGGCAGGACCCAAAGCGTGAAATCCAGAAAGTAATGCAGTTCATGGGAAAGATCTTGGATGAAGAGGTGCTGGATAAAATCGTCCAGGAGACATCATTTGAGAAAATGAAAGAGAACCCTATGACAAATCGTTCAACGGTTCCCAAATCTATCCTGGACCAGTCCATTTCCCCTTTCATGAGAAAAGGTTTGCGGGGAATTCTTCCTTTCTAATTCTGAGACGGTGCACCCCAAATACACGTATTATGCTCCTAAGGAGGCTAGGGACTCGTTTCTGTTACACAGAGATTCTACAAACTAAGTCTTACAGAGAACTAAGGCCAGCGCTACTCTGGTGCACACCTCACTGGGAGCCATGCCTGAGGGTAGACTCATCAGACCTGGGGTCTGGAAACCGGGAGTTAGCACTCTGCTCTAAGGCTCTGTTTGTAAGGAGAGCGACTGTCCGCATGCGTGTGTCCTGTCTTCCACCCCTGTGTCTTTCTTCTACTCCATAGCCACTGCTTCGACTTCTGTGCTTGACTTCATTTGGACCACAACCCCAAGCTGTTCAGGCTCATGACTTTCCACATGTACTGCAGTGAACCATCTCTTACCGCCTCCTTCTTCCTGAGGGAGGAATTCTGTTGGGCCCAGATGATCCAGTTTTAAGAGGAAAGTGTTACTGTTTTCTTAAAAATTAGTACATTAAGTAACTTTAGAAAACAGTACTGATTTGACCATTTCACACAGATCCTCACTAAAATCCACTTCACAGGAAACTAGAAGCAACACAAGTCCCTCCTTCCTTCTCATAGCACTTGCATTTCCTTCCACCACAGCACAACCACGACCTGGGGTTCACCTGTTGCTCTACAACAGCTTTCCTTTTTCTTTCCGTGCTTGAGTTCATTTATTTCATGGTTCTTCCGGTCTACAACGTCTCCCAGGCCCCTGAAATAAAGCAGCTCCACCTCCTTTCTCCCTTAATAACGGTGAGAATTTGGTGAGTAGCCTTTCCTCAGGCCCACCCACACCCACCATATCTGCACACTCTGTGTTTGCTTCTTTCCTCGCTTGCCTTGGCCATAGGCACAAATATAGATGCCTTGATAGAAAATTGTTCACTCAAACACAAAATGTAGCTACACTATATATTTTTGCTTACGGGAATATGGAGCGTCTCTGCAGGTCAAGGAACACAGATCTCAGCTATCGCTGTTTGTAGAGGTCACATGGGACATGCTGTCAATCACCCAGTTATGTCTCTAATTATAGAAACAATAGATTCGGTGTTTCAATATTTACGGTTAATGCTACAATAAACACTTTTTTAATATTTATTTATTTATTTATTTATTATGTATACAACATTCTGTCTGTATGCCTGAAGGCCAGAAGAGGGCGCCAGACCTCTTTACAGATGGTTGTGAGCCACCATGTGATTGCGGGGAATTGAACTCAGGACCTTTGGAAGAGCAGGCAATGCTCTTAACCACTGAGCCATCTCTCCAGCCCCTACAATAAACACTTTTGTTCATCAAACTGAATGATTTCCCACAAGAATCACAGGTGTTACAAAGAGTTTTTTTCCTATCTAAAATTTCAATGAATGCTTGTTGAAAAATAGTATCTCATTGTAATTATCACCAAATTCTTTTTCATTGAGATATAATCTACATGAAAATAACTCACAGAAATTAACTGTACAGTTCAACCATTTTTATTTAAAAAAAAAAGTAAACAACTAAGCAACCAACATCTGAATCAAGGCAGCAAAGAATTCCATCATCTTGGGACATTTCCTTGTCTTTTCCAGTCAATCTCCTATAGAGAACAATGTCCTTGTCCCTCACTATTGGTTGATTTTGCTTGTTATTTGAAATAAGGAAAACATACACATGAGATATCACCGTATATATTTCCTTATGTCTAGGATCTTTTGACAGCATAGTGGCAGCGGAAGACCACGGGGATGGTTATATGTCTGCCATTTATTCGTTTTGTAACTGTGATTATGTCTATATGTATACCAGAGAGCCAGGAGCCCAGGCCACCAAGCTCCCTTGAATTATTTGTCCACTGAGTTAGAAGCTGGTGCCCTGCACAGGGACCACTAGGGCTGCCTCTCAGACAAGAGGGCTAAGAAAATGAGGAACTGCCACGCCAGCTCCAAAGTGGGTACTCCACACTCTACTCAGGGGCACGGAGTCTGTCCATCAGAGGCTGATGTTCCTGTCTGGGCTCATCTTTTAGGAACTGTGGGGGATTGGAAGAACCACTTCACTGTGGCCCAGAATGAGAAGTTTGATGAAATCTACAGACAGAAGATGAAGGGAACGTCTATAAACTTCTGCATGGAACTCTGATCAAGATGTAGATAGATGACAAGAACATGGGAGCTGCTGCTCGGGCAGAAGAAGTTCTGAAAGCACACTGTGAAATACTCAAGACTGTGGCTCAGTCTCTATGAATTTTAACACCATGTTATAATTTCATAAACGTGGATCATGGCTAATGTGTAATCTTTCCACTATTCACTATGAATTAGTAAGTCAACTTAATAATATAAGGAAAACATAAATAATACTTGCATACTACAAAATTCAAGTTTCCATTCTTTTAGAACAGTGATTCTCGACTTGCAGGTCATGACCCCTTTGGATTTATAGTTCAGATATCCTGCATGTCAGATGTTTGTATTACAATTCATAACAGCAAAAATGCATTTATGATGTGGCAACAAAATAATTTTGTGTTTGAGGGCCACTGCAACACAACAAGGAAATATATCAAAGGATGTAGCATTAGGAAGGTTGAGAACCACTGTACTAGAAGGTATGGCCTGACTCTGAAGTATTCTACCCTAAGTACTAGCAAAGAAATAATAGATTTTATCTCTATGAATGTACATGAAATTCCTAAAGTCATTCCTGCTCAGTCAGGGTTTTGCCTGGCTGAAATGGAAAGAATCATTGTGTGGATGATGTGTTGCAAGCAGGCCTTGGGAACACGTTCAACCTGGTGCGAGGAAAATGAGGGAAAGACTCCAAGGAGATGCCAGAAATCCCAACCTTAATAAAGGGAATCCTGAATCTGTGCCGTTAAAGCAGAAAGAAAGCATTATATTTTGATGAAAGTAGAATGAAGGCATGGTGCTCAGTTTGGAGCCAACTGGGTTTTGATCTACAGTCATGCCATCTGAGGAGCAAACTGTAACCAAACCAAGTGTGTCTTTCATCTAGCTTCCATATTTGCCTATTTTGACTGAAGCTGTCTGTATTTGCTGGCCAGCAAGCTTATCTCTACCTCCTGCTATGTTCCATGTTGAAAAGAAACAGATCATTTTCTGGCTAGGTACCACTCATCAGACTTGATCAGATCAGCAATTTAAACACACCTGGAGCCAAACTCCAGATTGCTTCACTGTTCCTCCACCACCCCCTTAAGTCTAAGTCCATCTCCCCTCCTCCTCCTTTCCTCCTTTCCTTCCTTTCCCCTCCTCTTCCTTTATCAATCCTCTGTTGCTCATCCATCTTTCTCTCCCTACCCAGGTGCTCACCAAATCACCACGGTGCTCATCACTGGGTCCGTGCTAGGTATATCTTAGACAGCAATGTTACCAGGGAACAGTGCTAGGTATATCTTAGACGGCAATGTTACCAGGGAACAGTGCTAGGTATATCTTAGACGGCAATGTTACCAGGGAACAGTGCTAGGTATATCTTAGACGGCAATGTTACCAGGGAACAGTGCTAGGTATATCTTAGACGGCAATGTTACCAGGGAACAGTGCTAGGTATATCTTAGACGGCAATGTTACCAGGGAACAGTGCTAGGTATATCTTAGACGGCAATGTTACCAGGGAACAGTGCTAGGTATATCTTAGACGGCAATGTTACCAGGGAACAGTGCTAGGTATATCTTAGACGGCAATGTTACCAGGGAACAGTGCTAGGTATATCTTAGACGGCAATGTTACCAGGGAACAGTGCTAGGTATATCTTAGACGGCAATGTTACCAGGGAACAGTGCTAGGTATATCTTAGACGGCAATGTTACCAGGGAACAGTGCTAGGTATATCTTAGACGGCAATGTTACCAGGGAACAGTGCTAGGTATATCTTAGACGGCAATGTTACCAGGGAACAGTGCTAGGTATATCTTAGACGGCAATGTTACCAGGGAACAGTTTTCATTTGGAGACCTAGAGGAAACGACTTCCTGGTGACACCCCACGTTCAGCCATGAACAATTAAAGAAGCTTTTCCCCACACAGTAACATGTCTCCTTCATGTCTTGTTTAGCGTGTGTATTTCCTGAACATCTAATATGAAGCCAGCCACAGGATACTTAGGATATGTTTCACATTTCTTCAGCAAGCACAACTTTTTAATGATTTTTTCATCCTATGGCACCTGTCACATGTGGTTTCCTTTTCTACTTTATGGCTGGAGAACACTTTGTATTTACAAGTCGACAGGCATTTGTGTTGTTTGCAGTTTGGGGTTCTCATCCACCATTCCTCTGTTGATACGTGAGGGTCCATTATTTCCATATCCATCACGGAACTCAGACTGTTTCAAATATCAGGTATTTTATAACACTCCCCCCCCCGTGTTGTGTGTGTGTGCACGCGCGTGCGTGCATGTGTGTATGTATCCATGTGTACTTTTATAAGAATCTAGAGGAGGACACTGGTGGTACTCTGTGTCATCACTTTCCAGTCTATTCTCTTGAGACAGGGTTCATTGGTTATGGTGGTAAGCCAATGGACAGCAAGTCCCAGATGTCTTCTTCTCTGTACCCCGCAGACTAAGATTATAGGCTTCTAGATTATTCTATATATTCTGGGAGTGGGAACTCAGGGCCTAATGCTTGAACAGCAAGTGCCTTACCCATCAAGCCTTCTTCCTAGCTGAAACTGGTACAAAACTTTCTGCACATCTACTGGAAATCGAATGTGTTTCTGCTATATAGTTATTCCCTTGAAAGTCGAAATGCAATTGGTGTACCACTTTTATCTGAAGAGGGTCTCATTTACCACTATCTTGAAATGCCATTGGCCATCTATATAAGCCTTAACATTTAAAGTTTTGTATAATAACCACACGTGTTAATGTCTTCAGGAATGTGCAGCATATCAGCAGAATTATTACCAAAACTACCACGGAGAAAACACTAGCATGCACACAGTTCTGACAGGATGATCATGCAGGATGTGTTTTCTCTAGGACAACTAGTTCATTGAAAGAACTGACAGGGTTCCGGAAGTAGTTTGAAATATTCAAGACTCATCAGTGCATGAAGTAACCTCCAAATATCACTGAGAATTCTTTAAACCTGAGACGTAACATTATCCTCTGTCTGGAATGTCAACCTAATATAAGACAGTCAAAGACTCTTAGCAGAATAAATGTAAGGCACTTGCCATCAAAGCTAACAATTCCCAGAACTGTGTCCAATTCCCAGATCCCCCACAGAGGAAGGAAAGAACAAAATACTGCAGAGTTTTTTTTTGACTTCTATGTGTGTGCTTTGGCATGAGTGTACACATACACACACACACACATCCACAAAATGTAAATTTAAAATTTACCCAAAGCACAAAAATGAATCCCAAATTAACATAATAACATAAATCTAATAGTTTTTTCTAACACTAAATGGAAATGAAAGGAATGAAAAAAAAAGGAAGAAAAAGTTAAACACAAAAGTAGATAGTTATGGTTATGCTAAAAATAAAGTAGTTATAAGTATTGTAACTGTATTCTTGCTTGATACCTGTTTTACTATCTGTAAATTTACCATGTTAAAGTTAAAGCCTTCCTTTTTACTTAGACAGAAAAGCAGAGGTGATGTGGGATTTTCCTCTGTATGCTGTCAATGTGTTTTGCTATTGAATAAAGCTACTTTGGTCCTGTAGCAGGGAAGAATAGAGAGAGCTGGGAAAATAACTTGAAGCTAGAAGAAAGAGTCATAGTCAGAAAGGTGTAATGTATCCAGTGCAAGAGACAGAAGCTGGAAGGAACCATGCCCGTAGGCCACAACAATGTGGTGATACATGGATTGATAGATATGTGTGAATTAAGACATGAGTTAGTCAGGAATATGCCTAAACTATTGGCCTAGCGGTGTTGTAATTAATATAGTTTCTGTGTGATTATTTTGGGCCTGGGTGGCTAGAAATGAAAGAGCAGCCTCTGCCTACCTCTTCCCTTTTTATGGACTACTGGAATATTTGTGGATTATTACAGTTATTTTTTATATTTCTGAGTTCATCAGTGAATTTTTCTGATAATACAAGACAATGTTAACACATTGCTTCTTTGAGATTGTGTTGCCTAGTCTTATTATTTAGACTTTTAAGTTTTCCATTGATTCTTGTATCTCTCCTTGTTATATATGAGTTTGTTTCTCTAGGGGGATGCAAGGAAAGATGGGGGGTTACAGAGGGTCTGTGACGCCAGGAGAGATCTTCCATCCAGGCATGAGGACTCTAGTAATGATGGACACCAAGTGGGAATCTGAAGCAGGTTCATTCCCATCAGACAAAGCTTGTCTCCACGAACTTCAAAGTTTCTCTGAAATCAGGAGATCCAGCACCACCAAAAAGCAGGCTTCGTTAATATCAGGCCTGTGCTACAATGACAGAAGAAGGGATCTGGAATTGAGGCTACTTGCAGGGTCACCGAATTTCTGGTGTGGATAAGTAGAAGAGACACATTCAGTGTATGACTGTGGGACAGCAAAGAATCTGCCTTGACTTCGGAACAACTTAGGGGTGGGAGGGATGGATAGGAACCCTCTTTGATAGACCCATGTTCATTGTATACATTTATGTTGTGATAAAATTTCATAAACACGGGGTCATAAGAAGAAACATATCTGGCCCATTTACAGAATAAAAGCCCATGGAGGTGGGAGAGAGGCAAGAAAGAAGCTGGAAGATTGAAGGCAAAAGCAGTAGATTGAGTGTCACACTCCAACCTCAAGCAGAAAGTAGGGAGAACAGAGAATAGCTTGCTCATCTCAAGACACACTCGGGGACAGCCTTCTGCCACTAAGGCTCTACAATATAAAGTTCCCCAAACTGTACCATCAACTACACTTGAGGGTCCATGTGTTCAAATGACCATCCATATGAGATTTTTTTGTTCATTTTTTATTGATTTTTATTGAGCTCTACATTTTCCTCTGCTCCCCTCCCTGTCTCTCCTCTCCCCTTCAGCCCTCTCCCATGGTCCTCATGCTCCCAATTTGCTCAGGTACTTTTTCCATTTTACATAATGAACACAGTTCCCCATTCCCCTTCTCCCACTTACCACCAACTTCCACAAACCCCACCCCAATTCACTCCTCAGAAAGGCCTCCCACGGAGATTCAGGGTTGAGCAAAGCAACCGCCATAGAGAAAGGGCTCCAAAAATGAGTTCATGCACTAGGGATAAAGTCTGGTCCCATTCCCGATGGTCCCACAAAGTGTCCAAGGCACACCACTGTCCCCCACAATGAGAGGGCCTACTTTGGTCCTATGCAGGTTGTATAGATATCAGTTCAGAGTCAGTGAGTTTTCACTAGCTCGGGTGAACTGTCTCTGTGGGTTTCTCCATCATAAACGTCACCCCTTTGCTCATACAAACCCTCTTCCCTCTCCTCAGCTGGACTCTGAGAGCTCAACCCAGTGATTACAGGGTGAAGATTTTTCAGGGTGGAAATTGGTCAAAATCCAATGCCTGATCTGTTCTCAGCTCAGAGAATAGCTAGATTTCATGCTTAGGGATTTGTTGATTTTGTACTCGGGGATTGGATGGATTACCTGTGCAGAGACTGGTTAGTTTTTGTGCTGAGTTTGTCAGAATAAGAATGCATTCTCTAAGTCTGGTTTCTGGTCTAAAGTGTGTTGCATTCACTGACCCCTTTTAACATTTTGTCTCTAATATCAGGGTCACTGAGGGTGCTCTGATCTCAGGTCCGGCTCTGTTTTTTGGCTGTGATTTCAGGGAAAATGGGGTTTCTTTGGCTCTGCTAAGAGAGCGCTTCTTTGGCTGTACCTTTGACTCTATCCTACCCAGAGTAAGTTCATCAAAACATTCCCATGAATGCCGGTACAGCATTGTGGTCATGCTCTTCTGCTCAATTTTACTTCCTCCACTCCATCCCTGTGACTGCTATAGGTTCATTTATAAATGCTCACCCTCTTCTTGCTAATATCCACAGTCAAAACCTCATGTTTTTGTTCGTGGAATACCTCCTTGTCTGTGATAATATCTCTAGTTGTAGCTACACTGTGTATAGCAGAAGACTTCAGGGATCACTGTGTCTGAGTATGGACTCCACCCTAGAATCTGAACATGTACTGCTACACTCTTGTCAGTTTCTTTATGTAAATTATCCCCCGGATTTTTCCTCTATCTAAGGGCCTGAAAAGGCATCATTGTGTTATTTGGAATATCTCAGATTTCAAGACAGAAAATTCATAGCTATAATCTGCCATTCTGAAGCTACACAAATATTTTTCTAGCATTACGTGTCCTAAAATTTCCCCCAAAATAAAGTGACTTAAGTTGAGCTGAACATCATGGGCAGCCAATAGAAGAGGACATTCTAAGAAAGGATGTCAGAATCTTAACATCTCTGGGTTCATATGGGGAGTTGATGCTTGCCTGCAACCTACCCATATATGCACAGGTGGGTCTTTCAGAAACAACACAGTCTTTTGTCTCATAAGCACTTCTGAAGCACACATCCTGCATTCCTTGAAACATAGCAACATAGTTCAGTTTTTTTCATCTCATTGACACACAGACGTGACGCATGTCTGTGACCTACCCACACATGACAGATGGCTGTCAAGGCCTTCAGAAACAACATAGTGCTCTGACTCACATTACCTCTGAAGTAAACATCCTTCAATCTATGGAACACGGTTCCATAGCACAGTTTTTTCTTGTCATTGATATATACTCATTTATGTGAATAGCAACATAGTCCAATTTTTTCAAGTCATGGACACGCTGACATGATGCATGTCTGTGACCTATCCACACATGCACAGGTGGCTGCCAAGATCCTTCAGGAACAACACAGTGCTCTGACTCACATTATATCTGAAGTAAACATCCTTCAGTCTATGGAACACACTTAAGTTATATAGGACATTTTTTTTTTCAAATCATTCATACACAGTGACTTATGTGGTCATGGAATAAGTTCCAGGAAAAGATCTAGAGATGTTCCTCATGAAGATAGGCAATCTAAAGAAGGAGGAGGATAGACCAAC